TTTTTCCACAAAATGTATCTAAATTGGTCCCACTTCATTTTTAGGCCTGCATCGTCACTTCTTTGGTCTTTTCTTAAACTATGTCATTTCACTGACCATTAAGATTACCATCCTTCCCTTCATTTTTACAGCGAATCTAAGCCCATATCTGAAACAATATTAAATCAATGAATACACGGCTTTAGAAGATATTCAGACTATTTTGCATGTATCTGTTACAGATTCAAGTGCATATGGTCACTTTTAGAAGATATTTAGTTTATTTCGCAATCAAATATATCAAAGTTTCTATTTTACTCCCTTTACACATCATATATCCCAAACACAAAGGCTGCCAACGTACCCTGAGCGTGAAGTCCCAGGAACCTGTAGAGATAGCTGTCCCGTCCGGAGACATCTTCAGACAGGAGACCCGGTTCTCGTGGCCGTACAAGATGGTGAGGCGCTGGCACTTGAGGGCGTCCCAGACATTAACGGTGTAGTCGTTGTATCCTGCGAACAGGAGGCGCCCTGGCAAGGAGAGAGAGAGAGATAAGTGGGACATTGCAGATGGATCCTGTTGAAATATTTGTTCATTGTCTCGATCACTGTTGCGGTGACATTGTATATTCTAAACCTTTGTTGCTAATTTCTCATAAGCATAATCGTGAAATTACAATTATCGTTTTTATTATGTATGTGTTTAGCGAAAGGAGGTTACATTTATGATCTGAATTATTGTACTTCACATGGAAGCAAAGACAGGAAATAAAAACACAAACAGCAACAATAGTAAAAAAAAAAAAAAAAATCACATAAACTACAGTGAAAGAAAATGCAATTGACCTGCCATCACTAATACGCCGACGTTTACTATTTGTCATGCTCATCGACCAAGACAGACTTACCACTGACGGAGAAATCGACCGCATTGACGCCGAAGATGATGCTTTCCTTGGTGTACACGGCGATCTCTCGGTCTGCGCGGAGGTCAAAGAGCCGACACTGGGGAAAGGCAATGGGGGATGGATGAGGCAACGCTGGAGTGGGAACTGCGTGCATACCATTTTCTTTCGATTTAACCCTCTCTCTCTCTGTCTCTGTCTGTCTGTCTCTCTCTCTCTCTCTCCCTCTCTCTCTCTCTCCTCTCTCTCTCTCTCTCTCTCTCTCTCTCTCTCTCTTCTCTCTCTCTCTCTCTCTCTCTCTCTCTCTCTCTCTCTCTCTCTCTCTCTTCTCTCTCTCTCTCTCTCTCTCTCTCTCTCTCTCTCTCTCTCTCTCTCTCTCTCTCTCTCTCTCTCTCTCTCTCTCTCTCTCTCTCTCTCTCTCTCTCTCTCTCTCACTCACTCACTCACTCCTCACTCTCTCTCACTCTCTCTCTCTCTCTCTCTCTCTCTCTCTCTCTTCTCTCCTCCTCCCTCCTTCCCTCCCTCCTTCCCTCCCCCCTTCCCTCCCTCCTTCCCTCCCTCCTTCCCTCCCTCCGTCTCCCTCTCCCATTCCCTCTCCCTCTCTTCACAGTTCCACATCTTATATTCCCTTTTATGATTCAACTTTTACAAAAATATCGTCTTCTCTTCCATACCCTCTTGCACTCACCGTGGCATCATCCGACCCAGTGGCAATAGCGTCCCCTGATGGATAAAATTTGACGGAATTGATGTCAGACTCGTGGCCTTCGAAACTCTGGACACACTGGCCTGTTCGCATGTCCCAGATCAAGGCCATCTTGTCACATCCCTGAAAAGATATCCTTTCTTTAGTTAAAGATGGGCAGAAATAGAGGCATAGCATGAAAATTGTATTAGTTTACCTGCAAAGGAGTTCGTTTTCTCTTATGTGACTATATTATCGTTTTCTATTAAATGTTTTAAGGGGATACTTATATCTATTGTTTGTTAATGACTATTAGTTATTACTAAACTATGGTGCATGATAATTATCTACTTTTGTATGAGATGCATTCTACGATTTCTCTATATACATATATCCACAGCTAAAACTTTATAAACTCTAACAAAAATGTCAATATAGATCAGATATTGTCTAATGAACAAGAAATGTTGACTGCATATTAGGATAAAAAGTGCTGGCGCTAAACCTGTTTGATATTCCGAAATATATTTCAGATCTTTCCAATCCCTTTAATGTGACCTATACGATGGCCTAACATCATAAACAGAATCATCAACAGTGTTACTAATGATGAGGATCATAATAATGGCACTAAAATACTCATTAACAATTTTTCATTACAAACAAACATGAATACAAACAGCATCAACCCTATTGATGCTGCTTTTGTTGCTATAACGCAATTATCATCATTGTCGTTATTATTATCAACATTATTGTGAACATAGATGCCGTTACTATAATCATTACTACCATTATCCTTATCATCCCTATCATTATTACCTTTGACGACATCGTCTTCGAAATCAAACCGCGAAAATTGCACAAGGAGAAAAATAATCCTCTAATCTTTTCCCAACGAGGCAGAAATGGACATGAGTTTTCAATTCAC